CCAGGCGGCCCGTCAACCGTTGAACTTCCTTCACATTGCGTGGGGGCTCCATGTTGATGATGGCCTTGATCTTCTCGGGATTGGCCTCAATACCCCTTCGGCTCACCATGTAGCCTAAGAATTTGCCCCCTTGGACGCCGAAGGTGCACTTCTTCGGGTTTAGCCGAAGGTTGAACTTTTGCATGATGGCGAAGATTTCCCGGAGGTCGTCGGCATGGCTGGAAGATAGTTTGCTTTTGACGATCATGTCGTCAACATAGGCCTCCATGGTGCGCCCTAGGACGGCCTGAAAGACTCGGACCACCATCCAGGTGTAAGTGGCCCCTGAGTTCTTTAGGCCGAAGGCCATCACTAGGTAGCAGAAGATGCCCTCGGGAGTCATGAAGGCTGTTTTTTCGGCGTCTTCCTCGTGCATGTATATTTGATGGTATCCGCGGAATGCGTCAAGAAATGACATGATTTCACACCTTGCGGTTTCATCCATCAGCTGATCAATATTGGGCAGAGGAAAGGGGTCCATGGGACATGCCTTGTTGAGATCCGTGTAGTCCACGCACATGCGGAATGAGGGCGGTTTCTGTGCGAGGACTACGTTCGCCAACCATGAGGGGTACTTCACCTCCTTGATGTGCTTGATAGAAAGAAGCATGGCGACCTCTTTCTTCCGAAATTCCCTTCTCTCGGCCGAGAGGGGTCTCCTTCGCTGTTGTACTGGTTTGGCCGAGGGGTCCACCGAGAGGCGGTGGGTGATGACCCTTCGGCTTATTCCCGGCATGTCCTCCGGCCCCCATGCAAAGACAATGGAGTAGGCGCGGAGGGCGCTGATGATGCCGGTCTTCAAGTCTTCGGGGAGCTTGGCTCCAATCTTCACGACTCTCTCTGGCTTGGCCGGATCGAGCGCGAAGTCTTCTACCTCCTCGGCTGGTTAAGCCCTCGGCCTTCTTTCCTCCGCTTCCACAGTTCCGGTGATGGTGTCAACGCGGAACTCCGTCTTGCTAACCTTCTTTGTAACTTGAAGGTAGCAAGCGCGGACAAGCTTTTGGTTCCCCCTCGAGTAACCGATTCCCCCCTCGGCTGGGAACTTGAGGCAGAGGTGCCTCATGGAGATGACGGCCTCAAGATCCTCGAGGGCTGGCCGGCCGAGGATGATGTTATGGGCGCAGTCAATGTTGACGACGACGAACTCCACTTCGAGCTGGGCTCTATGGAGCCCGTCGCCGAAGATCACCGGGAGGGTTATTACCCCCTCGGAATCAATAGTATCGCCGGTGAAACCGGCAAGAGGGGTCTTAATGGGCCGAAGGGACCCCTTCTCCAGATGCAGCTCTCTAAAGGTGCTGAGGTACATTACGTTGACGGAGCTGCCCGTGTCAACGTAAGTTCGGTGAATGATGGTGTTGTTTATTTCAGTCCGAATCACCAGGGCATCCCTGTGAGGAGAAGAAGTAGGAGGGAGATCTGCGTTGGTGAAGGTGATAGGTTCCTCCCTCAGCCGCTTTACCGGGGGCATATGAGTGACTTCCCCCGCGTAAAGCGATTGAGCCCACTTTTTCCGCTGGCTGGTGGAATCGCCCCCTGTATTGCCACCGGTAATCATGAGGATGTGGTGTTTTTTCTCCTGGTAGTGGGGGTACTCCTCCTCTTCCTCCTCCAAGTTTCCGATCTCCCTCTTCTTGCCGAGGGGGATGGTGTTCGGGTTCACCCAAGCGTTTACCTTCGTGTGGTGCCCTCGGGGAGGTCCCTGATGAGAAGGTCCCTCCTGCCGAGGGCTCTGGATAAATTGGGACAGATGGCCCGCTTGTATCAATCTCTCGATGGCCGTCTTTAGCTGATGGCAGTCATCGGTTCTGTGCCCCTGATGCCGATGGAAACGACAGTAGGGGAATTGAGGGTTGATAGCATGTACCTCCGGGGGTGCGCGAGAATTGCGCTCAACGAGGCCCCTCTCCTCGGCAAAATCAAGGATGATGCTGACGGGGTGCGTTAATGGTGTCCGGTGGCGGTCCAGGAGAATGGGCTATGCCTAAGTCTTGGGGTTATTCTTATAACCTCCCCCGGGCTTGGCTTGGCCTTGTCGAGGGCGGTCATCAACGGGTCCTGAAGCCTTGGGGTGATTTGGAGGAGCCCCCGGCCCCCGGTTGTTCTTGTTGTCAGCCTTCGGGGGTTGCTGATCTGGATGCTGGTGGTATTTTTCCACCTCTTCGGCCTCGGCATATCGGTCCCCCCGCTGTAGGGCCCTTATGTAGTCGCGGGAGGGGGGGGGGGGGGGGGTTCAATGATGAGGCTCCTTGAAAAGTTGCCGGTGCGGAGGACGGTTTGTAGGAGGGCCAGGAGGGTCCCGTCGTCAGCACCGTCGACTTTGTCGGCTTCCGTTCCCCAGCGCTCCAAGAAGTCCCGAAGGGTCTCATCCCTCTTCTGGTGTATGGTTAGGAGGTGGGAGAAGTGCTTCCTCGTGCGACGCCTCCCGGCAAATTGCGTCAAGAATCACTGGGCGAGTTCTTGCCACGAATCAATGCAGCCTTCGGGCAACCGGTTGAACCATTCGTATGCCGGCCCCTCTAAGGTGGAGAGGAACCAACGACACAAATATTCGTCCGACGCCCCTACCATCATCATGATGTTCTGATATTTGCTGTAGTGTTCTTGGGGGTCCGTCTTCCCGTTGTAGGGCTGTATGTGTTGCCCTCGGTATTTTTCCGGGATCCGGGCCGCCAATACCCTTGGGGTAAATGGCGTCCGGGTCCGGAGCTCGATGATGGGTTCCCCGGAGCCCTCGGCTACCTTCTTCTGCAATTCCTCCATTTTGGCCATCATGGCCTCGTACTTGAGGTCTGAATGAGGGGTGGAGGTGGTGGCGTGAGCTTTGTTGGCCTCCATTTCATCAAGTCGGCGTGAGCTTTGTTGGCCTCCATTTCATCAAGTCGGCGTTGGAGGGCCGCAATAATTTCGTCCCGGGGGTCCTTCGGGAGGGTCTCCGCCCCCTGCGAACGAACCCGGGCTGAGTGGGCCTGGTTGATTTGGTGGCGAGCATCGTCGGCATGAAGGGGTGCCTTGCCTTTGTCCCGAGGAGGACGCTTCTCGTCTGCCCTCGAGACAGACCCTCCGCTTTCCTGGGGCCTTTGGAGTGCCTTTCCTCCGAGGCGGTCTTGCCCCCCTCCGAGCCGGTTGAGGGCGGAAGTGCGGGGCCTTTCTCTATTGTCATTGTGGCGGTCCCGGGACTGAACTTCCTGGGAGGCCGTATCTTGGGCCACTACCCCTTCGTCATTCCCAATCCGAGGGATGGGGTTTCCGAAGGGGTGTGGCAGAGGGGGAAGCATGATGTTCTCCCCAACCTGGGGTTGAGCCGGAGCCAGGGTGCCGAAGGCACCCGGGTTCTGAGTGAGCGTCTGGATGAAGGCGGAGAGCGCCGAATGAACGTCGATGGTGAGAACCGGAGGGCTTACTTGGTCATCGCTCCGGTTCTTCTTCTTGGCCTCGATGCCGAGGCGGGCATCGGGGGCATTCTGCTGGATCTGAAGGCGTAGGTCGACAGCCGCCTGTTCCAGCCCGACGATGACACCGCCCTTGGGAGCCCTATGAGAGGCTTCGGGGGCGTTGACGTCGCCGAGGGCCAGGTTCTTGTCTTCTACGTTTTTGGAGTTGGCACGTGTTGTTCTCACCATTTTGGTAGAGGGCTAGTGTTTGGCGAAGGGGGAGGGTTTCTTACTTGATTGTTCGGCTCTCAACGAGAGCACCAAATGATGGATAGTGTACCCGGGGGTAGCTTATCCGAGGGGTTATTACGGGGAATAATAAGAGAGAAGTCAGGGCAAGTAAATATAGAGAGAGAAAGTATATTGTAAAGTGTGGAGCGTTTTCAGCGTGTTATGACTTGGTTACAAATGGGGAAAAGGGGTGCTATTTATAGTAGCAATAAATGCCGGATAAAGACACGTGTCAGGCGTCCATTGGCCGAGAGTTCACCTCATCTGGTTGGCGCTGGCAACCGCATGTGGCCGCATTTAATGCGGCTGTTGGATGGGACGTTGTACATGGTACGATGATCTGTACGCATGTGGCGTGGATATCATGTCGGGGAAGGCGCCCTCGGTTGTAGAAGACTAGCCGAGGGCTCTGAGTACCGGGGGCCCCTGGATGCCGAGGGCTCCAGGTGCCGAGTGCTGCTGGTTTACGCCGTTCTTCTCAGTTTCTTAGTTTGCTTGAAAAACCCGTTCTGTGAGAGTTTTGATGCCTTCAGCCAAGGGGCCGAAGGCTCCTCAGTGTGCGTTGTGGGCTGCTAAGTGCTTGGGGCGCCGTAATTTGGGCCTGCTGTGCTTCCTGAGCCGGTTGGGCCTTTATTGGTGTAGTAGGAGTCTGTGGGCCGGAGGTTCCCGGGCCATATACTCCATCAAGTTCATTCTGGAAAGTTTAGACAACATCTTCTACTCTGAATATGTAGGGAGTGGGAGCAGCGTTTAGTGAGAAGGGTAAAGTAGGAATTATAAAAAATGATTTATTTTATCCGAGTATAAACCAGCGATGTAATTAGAATTTCTCTAAAAAAATTATTTTTTCAAATTTTGAGTAATTTCCTAGACCAATCACTATTTCCACATCCGATAAACACGAAATTATTCCGAGTTTTTTTCCTTTGAAAAATGGGTGAAGAATGTGGAAATGTCCCTCAGGAACTTCACTTTTTTTTTGCCTTAGCTACCCCCCCCCCACCACCCCCCCACCAGCCAACCCCCCCGGATCCCCCCTTTACCCCACCCCCAACGGCTAGTAGCCCAAACCAATTTTTTTTTTTTAAATTAGACCCGGGCCCGACCCGGCCGGGCCGGGTCACAATAATCCAGCACCGAGTCCGCCCCGCCCCTTCCCACCGGTTCGGGTCCATACCCGGTCCCGGACCGCCCGACCGGGCTGGTCCCGGGCCCGCACAGTACCGGGCCGGGCCGGGTCACGGGATGGGTGGCCCGAACCGAATCCAACCCTAACCACAAGGTTGAGGCAAATTTTTTCCCGTCAAATCATGACAAGAGGCCCATGAGTCCATGACCTCTCCATCAAACAACAATACCTTAATCAGTGCACCAAAACTCCCATTCAAGACCATACACATTAACATACATGAACAAAAAATAACGTAACATTTACGGAATGTTTTAATGATTGTAAATGGACTAGACAGTTTCCCTATTGTACCAAAAACATCAGAAACCATATACGGAGTATATATATATAGTGATTTTGAAGACAGAAGTTGAGTGTTGTCCTGCACGAATATGTTGTGCTGTCATCACTTTCCACATTTGAAGCCATGGCAAATAGAAAGAACTATGATGAGGATCATCGTGATTATGATTCCCAAAACTATCAGTTTAACCTTCATGTTTTGCAGCCACATTTTTCTCCGGATCTTTGTGCCTGTGCTTCTAAAGTCCTGTGCCTGTTCCAACAAATGCAATCATACCCCAATACTTCTAGTTTTTTTCGTACTTTCATCGTACAATTCAGTTTAAACTAGCTTGGCACCACAAAGCTGAAATAAATTTCACAAGTGATCGAGCAACAATCTCTTCGAAGAATACAGGAAAAGGGTATAATCATATTAGGGCTGGATTTGGTTCGGGTCCCGAACCGATCCAATGAATCTTGGGACCGAACCGAAATTTCGGTTATTCAAATTATCAAACCCGAAACCGAACCGTTCATAGAACGGGTCCCAATTTATCGGGCACTGATTTTTCGGGTCGGTTTATCCAAAACCGAAACAACCGATTATATTTCAATAATTTCAATAAAAAATAAACTTGAACTAGTATGTGATGCATTAAGCCCAATATGTGAGCACATCCCTTATTATATACTTCCTCCGTCCCTTAAAACTGTCATCTTTCCTTTTTGGGACGTCCCAAAAAACTTTGTCGCTTTCCATTTTAATCAATTATTTGTGGTTTCTGTGATTTCTCTCTCCTCTGCACAAACCTCAACCACACAGTTTTTACTTTATTATTCTCCGTGCCGGTCAACTTTGACAAAGTTTTAAGGGACGGAGGTAGTATGACATACTAAAGTACTCAAGTACTCCATGACCGCAATACATGACATACTAAGTCACAAGACTAATTGTGAGCACATCCCTTATTATATAGAAGTCTTGGAGGAGTAAACCCATTCGTTTTCCGGTGTGGGATGAAGTGCTGCATGAGAGAAAAGACCAAAAACAGAAATTTTAAACAAAGTCACCACCGTGATTCGAACCATTGATGCCTTGGAATAGTATTGCAATGGGCGATCAACGAACTAACGCGTTCAATATGTTCAATATGCTCTCGAAACGGTATTATATCTTTTGTAAGCGTCATTAACTATGATTAGTACTAATAATAACAATTACTATTGTTAATAAAAAAATTGGTTCGGTTGGATCCAAACCGATATTTTGAGTATATAAACCGATTTTGAACCTTTTTTTCGGGTCCCGATTTTCGGGTCCCGAAATTTATCGGTTCGGTAGGGTTCGGGTTTTTTCAGTGCTATTCGGTTATTTTGGTTCGGTTTTCAGTTTTTCGGTTCAAAATGCCGGCCCTAATTGATATACATTGAATATAGCTGTCCTCCAAAATTAAAACTTATGTACACAATGGGAAGCAAGAAAAAGAAAAAGCAGAAGTGATCCAAAATAGTGATACTGAGAGTTGTAAAATGATGCGGAGTAACTAGTAAGACAGACCTGATTATGAAGATTCTCTGTCTTATCCACAAGAAGCTCAATCTTTTCCCCACGATCAAGAACCTAAACATATAACAAACAAAAAAATGTGCCTCATTTTCTTAAATTTATGAAATAGCGCCTTCAGAGAGCATATTCGTACTGCAATAGCAGTTGTCTTTCCATTATCATCATCACCAGTAGCGCCTTAATTCAAACTATGTTGCATATGTCCTATGTGGTAGGAAATTTAAATGGCTAGTTAAATGTCAAGACTTTACTAGCAATTTAAGCTTTTGCAGAAAAGCATAATGCCAAACGTTCTACAGTTTTCAATCCAAATGGCTTGCAGATTCGTACAAATAAAAATAAAGTTGAATTCTGCAAATATAATCTGGAAATGAAAGTTTATAGCTCTTAATTTTGTGGGGGAAAGGGCCGAAAAGAATGTTCTACTATTTCAAATCCATTCCCTAAACCCTGGTGCTGAAAAAGTATCACGCAAGCACACTTTGAAAAACAATCAATCACACAATCAAGCATCCATTTTACCGGGATTTGACCTTCCATTCCAAGTAACCATTTGAATAAAATTGAGATAATTGATATAATTTTGAAAGAAGCAATGTAATTTTATTCGACTATAGAATTAAAAATGTATAAAAATATAAAAATGTCAATAGCTAGTAATAATCACAAATTTGTAAAAAGCTAAAAGCCTTGAAGATCAATATTATTCCATTTATTAGGATGAATTTTCTCGGATATCTTTATATGGAATTTAAGCTATGAGAACTGAGAATTGAGTAAAATTTTTTAAAGATAAGGTCAGGACTTGGTCACAAACAACCAAGAAAAACATATATCCTCACCTTCTCAATGTTTTCCATCATTACACCTTTGACTTCTGATACCTGAGCTTTCACCTTTGCAAGTTTGCTTACCTCCTCCGGATGATCAATGCAGTATTGCATATGTTCCTTTAGTTTGGGCCTGCAATACACAATCTCCTGTGGTAAGATGGTGGTAACGAAAATCTGCTGTTTTTTTGTAAGTTAAAGTTAGCTACCCAAATTCCTTATTAAGGCTATTAGCAGGAGCAGCTAAAGCCTTATCACCTCCATGTTTTGTTACAAAGTCATCCTTGATGCGCTCTAAGCAGGCTATGGGAACTTGTCTTCCTGCTGATTCTTCGGCAACCACACAATAAGCTACACAGCCACAGAGCAACACTCTAATAAGACGTGTAATCAAAACTCAAAGGAAAACTGAAATAAATATTAATGAATGAATAATTCCCTTTTACTAAAAACCATTAATCTAATATTGGTTATAAGTAACAGGATCCAAACATGAAACATGTATGAATCAAGCTTAATACATCACCGGTTTCATATGAATCAAGCATATGCGTTCATAAGTCATAAGTATTTGCACCAAACGTAGCAGAACAAGATAGACCTCAATTCATCTCATTTCGTATGAAACAGCTGGTTTCAATCAAACACAACAGCTAAAAATCTAAGTAAGAGGACGGATCTGAAACCTAACGACTACGATCACATCAACCCAAGAGGTTCACCACCTTGGTTCCTTACTCGGTGTACTACACTTGATATTAACACATGACTAGATAGCAAATCACGCCACGTCGCCACCTATAAAGATCTACCTATACAGATCCCATAGATGGATAAAGCTGCTAATCAAATACATCGGAACTATTTTTACACAAAAACCGATCGCGATCGTGAGTAACGCCTCACCACGCCTTCTATTTCATTTCCTTTGACAAAACTACAATGAACATAAAAGTAAAACAACACCTAAAAATGGATATACTTAAAAGGAAAGGGGCTTACTGAAGCCGTTATCAACAAGGTAGTTAAAAGTGTGGCCATCGCAATTGTAGGTGAACTTGCTGTTGGATAGTGGAAGCTTCTGCAAGCATTGGAAGGCTATGGAGTTGAAGTTTCCGCTGAAGCTAGTGTACTCCGCCAGTATGACGGTGCCGCGCGCCACGAACGCGTAGATCAGCGGCTTCTGTTGAACCATTTTCGGATTGGTTTCTCGAAGTCAATGAAATGTTCAAAGGCGGTCTACTCTTCGATTTGCTTCGTGATGAAGCAAATTTAAAACAGAAATCAGAAGAAACGCTTTTCACCCCTCCTCTCTCTTTAAGCCTGTCTCCGGTTTGCGGTTTGATTTAGAACCAGATTTTTTTTTGACCAAATTTAGAACCAGATTTTTACACCATTGAGTTTCCCAAATGTTGAAATCTAAACCGCCCGATTCCCATTCATCACCATCTTTTTGAAATCGCCTATCACAATAATCATAAATAATACATTCAACTCAAATTTAATAATAATACTTTCAAATTTAATTGAACTGAATTTGTATGCTTTATCCTCACCGGATTAGGAAGTGTTTGTTAAAACTTAAAAAAAAATGATTTTCAGATTTTGGTTTTAAAAAAAAACTGAATGTTTTCAAATCACAGTTACTGCTTAAATTTAACACTTAAAAGCTAAAAACTGAAAGCAGGTGGAAAAGTGTTTTAAACTGCTTTACATTTTTTTTATTACACAAAAATCACTTATTTTACCAAACACTATCAACTTTTACTTGTTAGGAAGCACTTTTTTCCTCAAACATTACAAATTTTTACTATTAAGCACTTTCTCCAAAACTAATTTAAAAAAATCACTTTTTTGAAGTAGAAGCAATCGCAAACACTCTCTAAGTCCGGTATGATACTTAAGTGAGTTCTGGTAAAACAATATTAAATTCGTAATAATCTGAAAGTCCTCTCGTTCTCTAATGAGACTTAGCAAAAGATCATCTGAAATTGAGCAGATCGTTTCACTAATCAAGTGAGAATTTTGAAGATTGATCCGATTCTAAAAGCCTCAATTACTAAACTTAACATCAAAGCCTGACACAAATATGCAAATCAAATAATGAGGATAATTGTGTAACGGAGTAAATATAAAATTTAAGTAAAAAAAAGCATGTACTTAAAATCCGTGTTGGAACAACATTTTCCAATCTCGTGCAATATGTTTGCTCCATGACGGTAATTCACAAGGAGGACGTGCCATATACTCATTTTTAAAAAAGAACATCTATGACATAGTTCGAGAATTCAAAATCATCACTTCTTCTCCGGCCATTGCCTCCATAGACATGCTTCATATTTTCTATCTCCATACTCGCATACTATTTAAATGATTTGAAAAGGAGAAGATCATAGAAACCCATCATTTAGAAACACATGAAATAATAATGATAGTACTAATAATGACCATTACTCCCTCTACATAGGAGAGAATCAACAAATCCCACACATTCTTTATTTTAAAGAGAAAATGGCAATATTAATAGGGCAATAAAACACTAGAAGTTGACAAAATTATTAGGGATAGAGAAAGTATTATTATAATTATAAATTATCATTATTGTTATTAATGCATTAGCTTATAATTTATAAAATGAAAGAATCCATCCAACAAACCGAATCCATCCAGGAACCTCCGTCCTAAAGTTCCCAAAGAAGATATGGAAAGTGCAGCATCGGCTTCGGTGAATCACCAAATCGTCGATGTCCGGTCTGTGGTGGAGGCAGTGGCCGCCGCAGGAGATGATACATATACCAATACGCCCCTGCACGTGGTTGAGAGTCTATGTATGCGCTGCGGAGAGAATGTATGCATCTTTCTTCCCTGCGGACAGGAACACTAGTTAGATGTTATAATCATTTGTGTTCCTTGCTTGTATTGACTGTATTTTTTTTTGTTCTTAGGGCGTAACTAGGTTCTTGTTAACTTTAATACCTCACTTTAGGAAGGTACCGTTTTTCTTCTCTCAATTTCCACTTAAATTCATCACTCAAATATATTTTAACAATGTTTTCTTATGCGCTTGCAGATACTATTGTCAGCATTTGAGTGCCCCCATTGTTGTGAAAGGTAATCAGATTTAGTTTGGAAAAGATATGAAGAATTGTTTTAAAAAGGTTTCTTATGCCACCTGGTTTGCGTTTTAAAGAAACAATGAAGTGCAATTTGCTGGTGAAATTCAGCCACGTGGGTGTTGCTATAGTTTGCATTTTCATGCTGGCGATCAAAAGGTTGTATTATAAACTTATACTCTGTAGTTGATTTCTTTGAGTAAGATTTTAAGAGTTCATGGATTGGTATGTTTGCTTCATAGTAATATGTTGCTACTTCTCAAGTTTGTATTAGAGATTAATCTATATCTAGTTATCTACTTATACAACTACACTAATAATAAATAAGTAAGGGGCTGCTAAAGGCTTAGGAAAAACAAAAGCTCCAGAGATTGATATGAATTTGCATCGTTCTTTATTATTTTGAGGCATTATTTTGGGATTCCTTGAGCCCTTTTTTATGCCTTTCCCTACACATATCCTTACTATAATACTAAAATGTGGTAACTCTTTTTTATGAGTACACAGTTAATGACAAAGTGTTGTTTTGATGTGACCCCTGCAAAGAAACATACCAGGTAGTCCCACACTGTGTTAAAGGGTGGCAAATTATCACCCCTCCCTCTTCCTGGTACCTCTTCTTTCATTTTATAAATTATAAGCTAATGCAGGTAAAAACTAAAAAGTACTACCTCTGTCCGAAATGTTTCTTCCCACTTCAAATCGGGATGCTTATTAATAAAGTGGAAATGTATGGTTGTAGTTGATGTAGAAAAAGAAAAAGAGTGTTAGACCCACAATGCACCCCTTATAAGGAAAAAAGAGTGTTAACTTTCTAATTAAGCATTTGTAGAGTGTTTGTTAGTAAATGTCTTGACTGTGTTGGTATCTAGTTGCAGGTGCTTGATCGAACAGTGGTAAAATCTGAAAGTGCTACTATCAAGGTACTTTGGTTTTTTTTGTGGAAAGACTTGTGACTTTTGATTAGTTGTCACTTTTTACTATCAGATATAATCAGGGATTTAACATGTTTTTTAATGAATGTTATTTTTCCAAGTGTGCCTGTATGCTGAGCAGTTACTTCATGTTATTTTTATCATTTATCTTTCTTATGTTTTTTTTTTATCTCTTTTATCTTTTATCTATCTTATGGTCTTGTGTATTTTTATCTTATCCATTTTATCTTACCTTATCTTTTTATTTTTCTTATCTTTCTTCTCTTTTTGGCTTTGATCATGAACTGGTTCATGTTAGCCGACCCAAAAATCTTTTGGGAATATGGCTTGAATGTTGTTGTTGTTGTTGTTGTTGTTGTGTTGCTTATATAGCTCGCATGTTTTGCCGCAGATTCCTGAACTGGATTTTGAGATCCCTACAGAGGCACAACGCGGTTCTCTGTCCACGGTACTTACACAGAAGACATCATACTCGCTAGTGGTCTTCTGAACATTCAGCTTATATTGGTTTTAACTTTTAACTATTGTCCACCATATTTGTATAGGTGGAAGGGATTTTGGTTAGAGCTGCTGATGGGCTGGAGGCCCTTCAGGATGAAAGAAAGGTGATGTTTCTGGTTGTGTAGTCATGTTTGTTCCTCAAAGTTATCCTTCTATTGTGTACTTAAAAAAACCAACCTCTGATATGTGCAGAAAGTTGACCCCAAGATGGCTGAAGCTATAGATGAGTTTTTGGTAAAATTAAGAGCTTGTGCTACTGGAGATTCATCCTTCACCTTTATTCTTGATGATCCCTCTGGCAACAGCTTCATTGAAAATCCGTAAAAACTTGTCTTACTCCTTGTGATCTTGTTGAAGTCTAATGGCATGTCTGGTATATTGCAATATTTTTTCCTTATTTCTTTCTCAGAGCTGAAATATTCCTATGTTCAGTGCACATGAGAGAACTCTTTTTCAGGAAAAAGATCCCTTTTAGATGAGAAAATTTACCTCACCCAAAGCTTAGAAATAATTGTTCCATGCTAATTGGGAGCACAAGTAAGAATAGGGGAAAAAGTACCCCAATCTTGTTATTATTGTGCTTTTCTCCAAAGTTTTTTTTGTCTTTATTTCTTCTTTTCCCCGATTATCTCAATCTATTTCATTCCTTACTTCCTAAGTCCTAACAAACAAACTATGCAATTTTGAATCCTTATTTACTCTTCTCCCACGGAGTTTATAATCAATCACAACTTTTCCCTCTCCACGTACCTAACGACCCAAAAGTGTCTAAGATACACACATGATCACTGAAAACAATGAAATTTCATTTACAGTGGGTAGATGGGGGGTTAAATTAATTTATTTATATTAGTTTTGTGTGTAGAGGGAGGGCATGGGGAGAGGGGAAGAATTAAATTGTAATCATATTTGCAGGATCTAGAAGAAAAGGTGACAACAATGAATCCCAAAAAAACAACAAAGAAGTTTTAACAAGAAACTGAATGTAGAATTATGCAAGGGGCATAAGTACTCCAAATCGTAAAATTCTAACAAACAAATATTACTCAATGTAAAAAAAATGTTACTTGATGTAAAAAATGCCGAGGCATAACTCCAAAAAAATGTTCCTGTAAACTTATATTGTTTTGACGTGTAAGGGGCATAACTCCAAATTAAAAAAATGTGTTTCAAAATGAGTTTACTAGTAAACCAAACAAATATATCGAACTATGAATGTTGGAAACGTGTGGATTTTCTATTTACACCTTTTATATCTTTGTTACTTTTATTTAATATATTTGAAAAAATTGGAAAATTTGTAGTTGTATGATATTAGTATATTACTTATTATCCTGTTGGTTCCTAATCATTTCTGTCATCTGTAAGGATGAAAATCTTTATTAAACCCACCCCGTTTGTATTCTGATGGACAATAATTTGAGACAGGTTTGCTCCATCTCCTGACCCGTTGCTGACCATTAAGTTCTATGAGAGAACTCCTGAACAACAGAAAACCTTAGGATATCTCGCTGATCCCTCACATGTAGACCACACCGGTGAGACATTGATAGTGGGGGCAAATAATCAAATGGGAAATGCGCCACATGGAGCAGTTGGTGCAAAAGCTGGACAACGTGCCATTGCTCAGAGTAATAGTGCTGAAATCTCAGAAGCTTTATTTAGATATTCTTCGCCAGAGGAGGTATACTTTGGGTCTCTGGTTGTTTATTAGTTATTAGATGCTTATACATACTTCCTCCTTTCTTTTTTAGTCACAACATTCCAATTTTTGCATTTGCCAATGCACAAGTTTGACCATCAATCTATTTCATTCTTTATTAGTAAAAATGAAAAAATTCAGATTTGGAAAATTTAAAATGAGAGGAATCTAACAACTTTTTTTTTCAAAAATTTAATTTATAATACACTAATAAATAAAATGTGGTCAAACATTAGTGAATAGTGTAAAATTCACTAATGTTTCAACTTAAAAAGAACTGAGGTAGTATAAATTTAGAATTTTTATATGCCTTCTTTGGATGACAGGTGATGGTATTTCCAACGACTTGTGGAGCTTGTGCTGCAAGTTGTGAATGCCGAATGTTTGTTACTAGTATCCACTTTATAACTACAGACATAGTCTACATTTTCTCTCCTCAAAGCTAAGTGAAATTGAATTACTTTAGCCCAATGTAAGATGTACACCTTGTGGATCTTGACGTGCACGAAGTGCAATTTTTTGTAATCTAAGAGCATCTTCAATGCAAAAGTCTCAATGGTGCACATGTGGTAGGAGAGATATAGACACAAAAAAATTAATTAATAGAAAGTCGTTCACATTCTTTCCACAGTGTAATAATATTCAGTTGTTTTTTGTTCACAATGTCAAACACAACATCTAGATCTAGACATTGTGAATAAAAAGTGACTAAAATTTATTACACCGTGGAAAAAGAAAGAGAAAGACTTTATATGAATTCTTTTGTGTCTATCTCTCCTGCCACGTGTGCACCGTTCACTCATTTCCATTGGAGATGCTCTAACAATTTAGTAATTGTTGTGATGTATATGACACTGAAATACTATGAAAAGTCATAGTTATTACCAACATTATTACAGACTATTATTCTTATTAGTATTAATATTAGTATTATCAACTTTTATTATTATTGTTTCTGATGTTATTTCTATCATCATCATTTATTGTTGTTGTTATTAACTTATTATTACTATTTTTAAATTTATTATTATGATTTTTTTCATTACTGTTGTTACTACTACTATTATTATACTTGAACTTAACCACAAACAGACATTCCTTATTTTCGAGAAGTTATTGTAATGGCATCTTCTTGTGATGCTTGTGGGTATCGCAATTCCGAGGTTTGTAAATTATAAATGTTCAAAGTGCTTAAGATTCATGTTGAATGTTTGCATCTGTTCATTTCATCCTATGCTTGATTATGTGATCAACTGTTCAGTTGAAACCTGGTGGTAGCATTTCTGACAAAGGGAAGAAGATCACAGTTCAGGTGGAGAATGTGAAAGATTTAAGTAGAGATGTGATAAAGGTAAAGGCTTCTGTTCTTATCTTTAATCTTTGTTGGCAGGATGTGGCAATGTGTGTTTGTTTTTTCATTTGCTTTCGTACTTGTGCTTTAGCTGATCTCATGTAGTGTTTGGTAAAACTGAGCCGTTTACTTCCAAAATATAAAATGACGTAAAAGAATGTGTTTTGAATTATTGAAAAATAAAATCAGTTTGTAACGGGTACCAAATAATAGATGAAGATTGTAAATAAGCTTGGACTTATCAATTAAGTTTACCAACCAAATAAGACTTGTTTAAAAGTTTACTTTAGAAAGCTAATTAATACTATCTCTGTCCCATTTTGTAAGATACATTTTGCTTTACATTTTGCTTTTTGGGTTGTCCCAAAATATGAACACTTTCTCAAATCTATCATTTCACTCTTTACATTTTGGGGACCCATCATACTTTACTTTTTGAAGGTTAAAATTGTAAAACACCACTTTATCCTTTATTTTCTTAAAGCCGCACCCAGCCCACATGTATCTTACATTATGGGACGGAGGGAGTAACTTATAACTAGCATATAGCATGCCAAGCATACCTTTTTTGTTTTTGTCTGATTGAAAATGTGGCGGCATTTATCAGTCAGATAGTGCTGGGGTGAGCATACCGGAGCTTGATTTGGAGCTTACCAGTGGCACTCTGGGTGGTGTTGTGACAACTGTTGAAGGTTTACTCACAAAAATTAGTGAAAGTGAGTAACCTCTCATGCACTTTCTTTTACTTATCTTCCTGTTTCTCACTTTTGAAATGCTTCTCTTAGTAAAATATTAAAAATGAGAATAAATTCATTGCATGAAAATCCAGATCTTGAAAGGGTGCAGGGGTTCACATTTGGAGATAGTCTAGATGGTGACAGGAAATCGAAGTGGCTGGATTTCACAGAAAGACTTCGCAAGGTGATTGTTATTGTAGTGTACCCCTATATACTACCTGTATGTATTCAAGCAACTGTTTACACCATTTAATTAGACATGGAGTAGTTTGTTTTTGTTTCTTCAATGCATGTGAGTTTTTTGTAAACCTTTTGGATTGTTTGCTATAAATTAAAATCTACATGGATGATTCATGTTCTATTTCAGCTTTTGAACTTGGAAACACCCTGGACTTTGATTATCGACGATGCATTGGCAAATTCTTTTGTGGCTCCGGTTACTGATGATATGCGAGACGACAAGCAGTTAACATGTAAGTTTTCCATGAATAATGAAAAGGTAAAAAGTAGTGCATGCGGTACTACTAAATATCTGTCCCTTATTTTACTTCATTGTTTTTTACTTTGTGAATTATATCTTTTAAGAGAGTGCCTCGGTGGCTGAGGCTGATATTGTTTCTCTCCTCAAAAAATTCAACCACATTTTTTACTTTACTAAAAAACCGCCAAAAGTCAAAGTAGGAACTAGTTCTGGGTGGGAAGAGGTATTATTTCTTTATCTTTGTTTTAAAATGTTCCGATTTTATTTTTTTGATAATTCAGAAGAATTTCACCCACAATTTCAACTACTTAAGCAATTCCGGTTAATTCACACTCACTAAAGGGGTTTAAAAGCTTGCATCATGTTTTGGATAAGACTGGAAAAAGAGATCAGAAAACCAACATTTTTGTGATGATGATATCTCACTACAAACCAAGTATAAGCTGTATATAGGTAGAACTGAGTGTACTTTTTTTGCAGTTGAGGAATATGACTATATGAGAGATCAGAAAACCAACAGTTTTATGATGATGATCTCACTGCAAACCAAGTATAAGCTGTATATAGGTAGAACTGAGTGTATGTTTTTTGCAGTTGAGGAATATGAGAGATCATGGGAACAGAATGAGGAGTTAGGCCTTAACGACATGGACACTTCTATGGCCGATGCCTCCTATTCTTGTGAGGACACTGCAGCTGCCAAAGAAAACTGATGGGTGGCGAGGGGCCCCACACTCTGCATCACACCCCTTCTGTTGTAATTTCTCTTTGTAACTTAGAAGCCTAAATTTCACAATTTGTTGAGGACAAAAGGCGGTTTTTGTGGATTGTTAATGACAAAAGTTACCGTTCTAACTTTAATTTTTTATGTACTTGTAGTCGTAGAATAGCAGTAACTTTCCATTGTTAATTTTGATAATTTTTCTTCGGAAAACTTTATTAGATTAGTAAAATTAAATAATATTTTAAAAATTAAATTAAAAAAACAAGAAAGTTCATACCAACTTAGGTCCTATATTGACAGATTTCATTTGTTTTGGTCCTAGATTGATAGCTCACATGTCTTTTAGGTTCTAGATTAATAAACTTTCTCCTTTGTTCCATTTTTCCTGTATTAGTTTTCTTTTTGAGTTATTTTAAAATAAGTTTCATACTTGTTTTAGAAAAAAATATGTAGTCTATAATAATTATTTTGTTATATTTAGATTTCAATCGCAACTTTTACTTTTTAAGCACAAAATGGGAGGAATGTAGTACAATTGAGCGATGCTTATGAGTTACAACACCTTTGCTTAACTTAGTAATGGTATTTGAAAATGATGGTGGTCTTATTTGTGCAATTTGATTATATTTTAATCTTATTCAAGGAAATTTCTCATAAACAAACTCAAACCTGATGAAAAAAATCAACTGTAGAATAGTGGGATACTAGTTGTAAGATAAACGTTGTTCTAAACAGAAGAGATGGTCCATAAATGTTTAATGGCCTGACATGGAGTAGGATTTAATAGAACTCTAGGCCCTCTAGCGGTTTACGATGAAGAGGAAGATGTGGCGGGCTTTGATGCATGAATGATCAAAATAGATGTGATATGTAAAGGAATGGTTGAGGTTTATTTCTTCCATCCGTTGGTCCAACACACGACCCAAGAATTTCGAATGTAAAAAGTATCGAAGTAGATGTAGAAACATGCAAGAAGAGCCCAATAAGGAGTCTTAATACACCGAAAACGTTACAAAGCCGAGAGACCGTTTATACAAATGCTATGCTACGAGTTGCTATGAATGCTAGAATGCTAGAGTGCTAAGTTGTAATCCCTTTACAATGAAATAAATGCCATTATTTATACTGCCAATGATTAGTTAGATACTTAGATGCGTTGATGTGGCGGGCTGTGGATGGCTTGATCCCAACCACCAAATCTTCTGCATTAAATGTGCTTCCCGCCAGGATCTTGGATTCCCGCCAAAGGGTGGGGACGTTCGTCCCCATGAGCTTGCCTCATGTTTTCCTGCTGGGTCCAAAGTCCTTCAAGACGAGCGTTGGTGCTGCCCTTGGGCCAAGGCGCCCGCCTATGCTATGGTACATACGTGATACGTCTCCTGGCCCTGTTGGGGACGAACCTCGCCAGGATAAGCGGAAAGGTAACCCGTCATCTCGTGCTTCCTGGGGACGTCCGTAGGGTGGGCCTTAAGAGTTTTATGGGTCAACCCTTGTTGGGCCATTAACCCAACAGGAATAAAAAATTGTTATTCTTCTCGAAACTTTTCAGTTATTTCTTTTTATCGTTCTAGTAACAGGTGCAGCATTGTTATTGGTGAAGTCTACCAAATTGTGGGGTTAGCGAGTTGGTTCGCCAATAAGCGATCATTCAAATCTCTGTATCATCCCGGTGTAGCCTTTAGTTTGGCGGCTTTGTATCTGGAGATTTTCTTTAATATGATTTAAGTTATGTTTTGCCAAAAAATGTTATTCTGATGAAGAGGCCACACCTTTCATTAGGAGAACGCTTAAGTTGACACTTTAATAATAAATGGGACCGGCTTGTTTCATAAGCACCACTTTATGAAACATGTATTTAACTGTGTGCTGTATTAATAATCTGACTGTGAGTTTATTAATGAAGTAAACATGTCATTTGTATTCAGGTTTTTATCATTTCTATTGGTGGATGGTGTCACAAAGTAGAGAGTAGCAGACCTAAACCAAATATATAGATACAAATAATACACCTTTTTAATTACAATGATACTAATAAAGATACATATAGTATAACATTAGTTGTACCAAATGCATTCTATGCTGCATTTTCGCCTCCTTTGTGCGCACGGTCATTGTAGATCGACGTTATTTTTCTTATGCACAACACGATTATCATAGGTAGCGTTAATGTCATGATGTTGAAGTTGAAGCATAAGAAACACCATCCCTATAATGACTAACACAAAGCTGTTGTGAAATTAAGAAGATGAAGATCAAATTTAAGAGATAGATATATATAGATAAAAAAAACTCTAAATTACTTCTTCTTAATATCTGAATATTTTCTGAATTTCTAAGTGTCTTTACAAGGCATCACCAAACCCCTATTTATACTGGTGGAGCTTGGTGATGAATCATCAAAGAATCATTCTACATAATATGCTGGCAACATTAAACCTAGCCATCTGTCTATTACAAGGATGGAAATTGGATTAGTGTCCTGATGACAAGGATGAACAATTCACACTTGTCATTCTCAGGAATTTACAACACTCCCCCTTGAATGGTCATCCTTGAATAGTTATTTGTTATTTTAAAAACCTATTGTGAAATTAAGGGGTAAAAATTACGACTTATAATGTCGTTGTATTTGGATGTACTGTCTCGTTAAAAACCTTATCAGGAAAAACCCAGTGGGATAAAAACCTGATGAAGGAAAATAGAGTGCAGTGCATTCAAATACTCCCCCAGAAATTAACATAAATTTTGAAGGCGGTGCATGCCGATTTTCTGCACAAGTTCTATGAACTTATTTGGGGGTAAAGATTTGGTGAAGAGATCGGCCGGATTTTCACTAGATCTGATTTGTTGAATGTTGATCGTCCCTTCTTTCTCCAGATCATGAGTAGAGAAGAACTTTGGTGATATGTGTTTCGTTCTGTCTCCTTTGATGTAGCCTTCTTTAATCTGAGCTATGCACGCAGTGTTGTCTTCGTAGATCACAGTCGGGTGACAAGTAATAGGCTTCATACCGCATTCATTTTGGATGTGTTGAATCATAGACCGCAACCACACACATTCTCTTCCGGTTTCATATAATGCAATTAACTCCGAATGATTTGATGATGTAGCTGTCAATGTCTGCTTCATAGATCTCCATGAGATTGCGGTATTACCATAAGTAAATACGTACCCGGTTTGTGATTTGGCCTTTTGAGGATCTGATAAATATCCAGCGTCTGCATATCCGATTAAAGTGACTTTTGAATCTTTGTGGTAGAATAGACCGAGATCAGGTGTACCACGTAGATAATGGAATATGTGTTTGATCCCGTTCCAATGACGCCTCGTTGGACATGAGCTGTACCTAGCTAATAAATTTACAGAAAATGCAATATCTGGTCTAGTATTATTAGCTAAATACATCAACGCTCCAATAGCACTCAGATATGGTACTTCCGGACCGAGTATTTCTTCATTGACTTCTCGGGGACGGAATGGATATCATGCATGTTGAGAGATCGAATGACCATTGGTGAAGTCAAAGGATGAGCTTTGTCCATATAGAATCTCTTCAACACTTTCTCGGTGTAATTGGATTGGTGGATGAAAATTTCATTCTTCAAATGCTCAATTTGAAGTCCGAGACAAAATTTGGTTCTCCCGAGATCTTTCATTTCAAATTCTTTCATAAGATATTTTGCAGTATTTTCAATTTCATCGGGAGTTCCAATAATGTTTAAGTCATCAACATAGACTGCAATTATGACTAATCCCGAATTTGATCGCCGGATAAAAACACATGGACTAATCTGATCATTCTTATATCCTTCTTTGAGAAGGTATTTACTGAGACGATTATACCACATTCGTTCAGATTGTTTTAGTCCATACAATGACTTTTGTAGTATTATGGAAAACATTTCTCGAGGTTTCGAGCTATAAGCTTCAGACATTTTGAATCCATCGGGAACTTTCATATAAATGTCTGTATCGAGTGAACCGTATAAATATGCAGTCACTACATCCATTAGGCGCATTTGCAGCCTTTCAAAAACAGACATGCCAGTGAGAAACCTTAATGTAGTTGCATCAACTACTGGAGAATAGGTTTCTTCATAATCAATTCCCGGCATTTGAGAAAAACCTTGGGCAACAACTCAGGCTTTATATCTTACGATTTCATTTTTCTCATTGCGTTTACGCACAAATACCCATTTAAAACCCACTGGTTTTATGCCTTTTGGCGTAGGGACTATCGGTCCAAAAACATCACGTTTTTCAAGTGATTTTAATTCAGCCTGAATAGCTTCATTCCATTTTGGCCAATCATGTCGTTTCCGACATTCTTCAATCAATGTTGGCTCATTGTCATTGTTTTCATTCATTACATTAGTGGCAACGACATAGGCAAATATCTCAATAATATCAATATCTTTTCGATTCCATTGTATTCCAGTAGAAACGTAATTTATTGAAATTTCGTAATTATCAACGTTTCTATCATTATCTGGAATATCTTCCTCGTTTAAGGAAATTGGATCATCATTTGAGATGTTTGTTTTGTCAATATTATTTTCTATGCCAGTATTTTCAAATTGTTCATGTTCTTGTTTAGAAGGATGAACATCTTTGACATCACAGACCAATTCCTGCCTTTTAGTTTTTATTGGTTTTATATCTTTTGATCCAAGTGGCCTGCCACGCTTTTTGCGTATAGAAGAATCATTTGCAAGAGATTTTTCAAAATTCTCTGTTGGAATTTCGATTCTGGCAGGAGCATTCATAGCAGGAATATGTGACTTTGTCACTTTCTTTGTATCTGTGAATGCATCATGCAACTGATTCACAACATTTTGTAAATGGATTATCTTTTGCACCTCTTTCTCACATATATTTGATCTGAAATCAAGGTGTGATAATCCTGTTGCATTCCATGTTATTTCTTTCGTACTTGGGTCCGATTTATTAGTTTCTCCCCCTAAGGTTGGGAATTCTGTCTCATTGAAATGACAGTCAGCGAATCGTGCGGTGAATAAGTCACCAGTCATCGGTTCAAGATATTTGATTATTGAGGGAGATTCAAATCCAACATAAATTCTCAACCTTCTTTGAGGACCCATTTTTGTACGATGAGGTGGAGCAATTGAAACATAAACAACACAACCAAATTTTTTCATGTGTGCTAAGTTTGGCTCTTGTCCAGTAACTAATTGCATTGGGGAATATTCATGATATGCAGTCGGTCTAAGCCGAACTAAATTTGCTGCAT